CCTAATTCTACAGCTTTTGAAGTAGGCTAAAAACATGTCGGACGCGTGTCTTTGATTGATAAGCGCTATCGGGCGGCACACGCGAGGGACCGCATGCCCTCGACTGGTCGGGAGCGATACGAGCTCGCAAATGCCTTCGGATGAAGAGGAAATAGATTCCAGGACATTATCTGTACCTCGTCCCCTGGAGAAATCAATGATGTACGATTCAACAAAATTGCAAATATTATTATATTATTAACATTTCGTCAAATTAAATCGAACTGTTAGCTAATTTGTAATGATAGTACTCGAAAATTGTAAGACGTATTGCTATTTCAAAGAGGCATACTGTATATATAGAACATGTGTATTGTGTATGTACCACAAAATTGTAAATATTATTTTATTATTAACAGCTCGTTAAACTAAATCAATGTGATAGCTAATTTGTAATAATCGTCCTATAAACTTTTAATACAGACTGCTGATTGAATAAGCACAGAGCAGCACGTGTATGTACAAAGCACATAGGTCAATAAATACAATCGATAAAAAATATTCATCACAATCGGTGCCCTAAAATGACTAGTATCAGAATAATTCGAAAGTTTGCACACTATCGACTCACATAGCCTATTTCTAATGTTGTACAGTGAAATAATTTTAGAGAAGAAAATAGTCTTTCTAATATAGTTTTCTAAATCAATTAGGATAAAAAAGTAGAAACAAACTACAATACAAAAAAATACGCCAGATCGTACAAAAGTTTATGCAATTTCGAATTAACCATATCAATAACCACATAAGCTCCTTAACCCCGGCATGTTGGGGTTCGATTCCCGGTCTAATCTACCCGTACGTAGGGTTTAGCTCAGCTAGTGGAAACAATTCCTTGTTTGCCGTATCTATACCATTACGCTCACTGCGCATTAGGGGTGAGTGAAATGGATATGTTATCTTTCTCTCCCTTCATAATCGAAATCACTGAAGGTGTTTCTAGAAAGAAAATATACATTAAAATTAACCTAGTATTATACATATTCAGTAATGTATAGGTAACATAATTTATATACCTTACATAATTTAGATATTTATAATTATAATATATTAATTAATATATAGATCCATATATTATTCATTATAACATTTGATATAACGCCACTTTCTAAATCGGAATAATCTACGATTTAAATATTCAGAGTGGATTTTGTACCATAAATTAACACTAAAGAAATTTTTAACTTGCGTACTTGATATAAAGAAGCAGAATATAACAGATCTTATTATACATGATCTTATTATGCACAATTATATATAAAATTCTCGTGTCACAGTTTTCGTTCCCATACTCCTCCGAAACGGCTTGACCGATTCTCATGAAAGTTTGTGAGCGTATTGAATAGGTCTGAGAATCGGCCAACATCTATTTTTCATCCCCCTAAATGTTAGGGGTAGTCCACCCCTAATTTTTTTTTATTTTAAGGCAAAACAACGTTTGCCTGGACAGCTAGTATATATATATATATATATATATATATTACCGATGATAATTTCAAGGGTGGCCGAGGTCCGACCTAACTGAATACATTACTAGCAATGGGGTCACTAATCACTGTTACTAAAAATTCCCTTCTACCTATACTTACATTTTGACAAACCGTGTAAAAATAGAAATAATCTAGAAAAATAATTCCAACACCAGTACTGTTAGTACCTGTGAGACCAAAAATTTTTATCCATATAGAAAGCAACAACATCGGTTAAGTTTTAGCGAAAATATCGTATAACCATTGCGAACAAATACAAGAAAACTAAAACTCCCTGTGTCAAATTATTCGTTACCTCTTTAGACAAGAAAATTCAACCAAATAAGTAAGTACGAACTGCTGTAGCATTTACCATTTACCACAACATTCACTCGATTACTCGATACACGCCGCTCGATCGAGCCCGCAAGTTCGCAATTTATTCAACAGCATTATTCTAGTGTAACGATGTACAAACACAATTACCCTGCGCAAACACGGACGGCGCCGCAGGCACGCACATGTTGCGGCCATTGTGAAATAAACATCGCAACCCTATAATAAACAACTCTTCTTTGAATTTAGAAAAGTACAATTAAATCTAGGTGCCAAAAAACATATAGTTTTAAAAATATTCCTTGTAATCTCACAGACAAATTAAATATATATATATTAGTTGTAAACACAGAGCAACTACATTTTATAAGATTCTATATAGTCCTTCTGAGAGAAAAATCAAAATTAAACCTATTTAACAACCTGTAAAAATTCTAAAAAACAAGAGCTTTCACCATTACACATAGACAAATTTTATTGTAATTTCTGGGTGTAACGGTGAAAGTCTTATTTTGAGAAATTTTACAATAAAATTTCTATATGTAGAACGATCACAAAAACTTAAAATTGAATCTATGCAAACAATTGATTCACCAGACGTAGACTGTAAAAGCCGTCTATGTGGATACTTCAGTATAACCTATTTCAGTCGCCAACCAGCTTGCTTAGTAAAGAATTTAGGTTGTAGGGTGCAGATTAGATAGTGTGAAATTACAGGATAAGGCATCAAGGCATGACACCTGAGACCTCTGGAATGGCAGCGATTGTTTGTCATTCAAATGACGTAAGAAATAGCTTACAAAGTTTCATAAAAACATTATTTTGTTCTAAGTACGCATGCTAAGTTGTAAGATAATAGATGAATAAAGGAATATCATACAAGTTGATTATAAATATGAACTATATACAGCCCTTTCCCTATAGTAACTTGACTCGTAACACTAAAAACAAATTAAATACCCATCATGTATGCGCCGTTAACATCTCTTGTTAAGCTCTTTATCACTTTAATAATATTCAAAGTCGCCAGATACAGTAGCACAAACTGAATATATTAACATTGAGTACACATTTCAACCTACTAAAACCAGAAATACCGGAACTCAATACTATATCGATGTCTAAAAATGTGCGACCCGGTTTTGCTCATAAAGCCTCTATGCTAAGCATCAAAATATAACGCAAACAGCTTTAGACCTTCTAATTTTTTAATGAAGGGCGTGATTGATATCAATCCCCCCAATCAAAATATTTGTACTATCTCTGTATGTATTCAAATTTCCTCTTCCTCACGATTCCCGTATCTCAACTACAATACGTCAGTTTTTTCTCTAACTCACGTCAAGGTGTTGGTTTCGACAAAGCGGTGAATAAAAAAGTAAAAAAAGATGTCTATGGCACTACCGCGTGGAGACGTGGCTAATGTGTAATGCGGTTGGCTTTTTGTACGTCGCCTGCCTTTTTGTTTCTTTTTTTCACTTGGATTCGGTTACGGTTCGTATTGATCGAAAATCCGATTTCAAAATGGGTGCTCCGAGAGTTTTATTGTTGCCTCGATACGTTCTTAAACAATAAAAAACGCATTTTAAACTCAGAATGCAATTCTCACATGTCACGTTCAGAAATTGAAGGGGACGTGGTCGTGTTTTAGAAAAGTAATTATTCGATATCGATTGGGTTCGAGTTGAGGTGAGGACAATAAAAGACCTGATTTATTTTTTCATATGGCAACAAAGCATTCGATTGTGTACGTGATAGCTTATATCGACGTCTGATTGGACTTACGTAAATAAAGTTCGGTTTGCAGACTAGAATATTGCAATTACAATATAATGTAGTGCCTGTATTTTGGCGACATTGACCTACAACATTGTTCACTGATATACAGCTTTCTAATAGCAAAATAGTACTTTCACATAAATCTATATATAATTATTACGTGTTCAAAGTAAATGCTATACGGGTCATACCAATACTTAAAAATCTCTTTCTCTATCTCTCAATCAACACCTAATAATTATTTGTTACAATGTTACAGCATTGGAAATCTAAAAAACAGTTTTTAGCGTCGTCTCTGCCACATACATACATAGATTTAACTATTACAAAAGAATAATAATTATAGAAAAACGGATATTTTTGGACACTATATTAATTTGAATTTATAAAAAAATACAGTCGTTTACTTAAAGGAACAATTTTCTAAATTCATCTATAGCCAATAAATAATACTGACAGGTTTTATGACTGTAAAAATCTATATTTTATATTAACCAGGGTTCAAACTTCATTGTACACGTTGACCGTAATATTATTGTCGTCTTGTCACGTTTTGATAGTAAGTCTAAGTCACAAAAACTTTTCTGTAGTATACGAGTACTATCACAATTTCCACACCAATCGTAGTAAGTACTTATTCATTTTCGTCGACAAAGAAAAAGCGGTTGTTGTCATATTTGAAGATTTGTCGATTTATAGTAGGTATCTAATTATACTACTACTGAAAAATGGAAGAATTATGAATAATCCGACAACTATGAAATGGTCCTACTTTTCTCTAAAATTTACTTAAAAAAACTATGATTTATATGAAAATTATAAGTTTTTAGTCCAAAGTGTATGATACATTCATACACTTTGGACTAAAAACTAAACAGTATAAATTTTCGCCTTTACGTATTTTGTTATGTATATAATCGTAAATTAACTCATAATTATATATTTGCATAATAATTTTAATGATTATATTGAAATTATTATAAAAATCGTTGTAACAATAACGCCTAAAAAAAAAGACGAGCGCACTCTCGAGAACACTAAGAGTTCTCTATTGGAAAATGTATCAAATACATTACTAAAAAGATTTTAATAATATTTTTGTTGGAGTTTCCAACATATAAAATGATAATGTCTGGTACAATTCTGCTCTCGCTTTTGTTTGTATTGGTATTTCGGTTCTAAGTGATGATATAGCAGTAGTGAGGCACGCAAACACCTCAGCAATGAATAATATCCGTGGTGCCTTTAAATCTATGGGGAATTATTAATACTTTCTATCAGGAACATCGTCTCTTTGTCTTTCCAATTACATAAAAATATAAATACAATATAATTAATTAATACAATAGTAATTAAACAGATAATAACAGTACTTACAATGCTGCGTCGTAGGTGCCTTCCCCGCGAGATAGTCCTCTTTGCATATAAATTTGTTGTCATCCAATACATATAATTCTTCTCCAGTCGAGAGCTGTTTCCTGCACACCAGGCAGGTGAAGCAGTTGAGGTGAAACACCTTCTCCCGAGCTTTCCGCACGAGGTCAGAGGGCGAAATCCCGTGGCCGCAGCCGCTGCATTTCGTTCCATATCGCCTGCAAGACAGTTGAAGGGTTGAATTTCAAATAGCGTAGAAATGTAAATCTAATTTGAAATTTATTTTAATGTGAATTTTTAATTAAAAAAGCTGCTATGTTTATGTTTGGTGATATCTTCTATAAAACTCTAAATCGTTTGTAATGACTTATTGTAGTCATTTTTAACCATAACTCTAAATGTAGTAGTTAGTCTAATAGGTATCTAAGAATCATTTAGAATGAAAGAATATTTATAATAATATAATTTATTTAATTTATCGCTACATGGTACAATTTTGGATCTTACTAAATAATAGAAGTTCATGACATGCAGCACCCAGTAGGGTTATGCAAATATTGAAAATGAAATCATAATTAATTCTATCTGAAATTATGACCTTATATACGAAGCAAAGCGTTAAGAGAAAAAAATATGCACTCTTATACACTTAACTCCTCATTGAGGCTTTAACATTTGATGCTAACTTACTATTTCCTATGAGTATAATGGGTACAATAAATAATTTTTCCTTGCCCACACTCGATTTTGCTATCAAATGCAATAAATTCCGTAGTTCATGGTTCTATATTAATATCCAATAGTCATTTACTTAACCTATCACTTTCGACATATCACAATTTATGGTTAATATCTAAGTGTGAAACTTCATTACAGAGCAAAGGGTTCAGCATATATATTTTCATATATATTCAAATTTAGAGAGATACATAAAAATACATTTATTTATTAAAATTATATCAAATTACATATCTTAAATAGTGATATCTAACGACATAGGCTAAATTACTACAAGCTTTAGTAACCCTTGCATATGCAGAGCTTAATTAATGTTTTATTATCGTCAATACATGGAGTTCGATTCCATGTATTGACGATCTAAAAAATATAATTCAGATCCCTAAAATCGAGTTGTAAGTTTCGAAAGCTCATAATATCGACCATACAGGTTCAATATTGGCCACACATTGGGCCCAACGAATCGATATGGGAATGTTATGCAAATTACACATATAAATACCACGAAAGGTCGATTGTACGCATGTTGAAGAAACGATTGACTAGTAGTTAATGATCTTAATCATTCGATATTGCTCTGAGATTGCTATGATCTTTGCGATATTTTAGATGTTTTTTTTAATTATCGCCTGTTTAGTGGGTCAGATAGTAAAGCAATTAGGCGGCAGCGCTAGCGGCTACTAGAAAGCCACATTGACTAGTTACCAGTTTATCTATAATTAATAATAGAAAATCTATCATCGAGTGATGTATAAGAAATGTTGACAGTTATTTCGGTGGTCTCTATTGATGATAAGATCGTTACGTTTTATTATATTGATTAGAATATTTTCTCACACATATAATATATACAGATTTATATAGGTATATAGAATACAATTTGTGCACAAAACAATACTAATAACTAAATGAGAATTAGATGTTTTTGCACAAACAAAATAACGAGAAACAACTAGTGCATATGTGCACATTTAGAACTTTAGCGTTCCTTTTTTTTAACTGACATAAATAAATAATAAGGCATATTTATGCTATTTTTTTTTCAAATGACAATAAAATGAGAAGGTACATATTTTTTTTTGTAAACGTAAGAACGCTAATTCTAAATCCATTTTAAAATTATAATGTTTTAAACATGAGATACATTTCCGTCTGTTCCGTATTAAGTTTATCACTTAACGGAAAGAAGGTTTTAGTGATCATCGGCTTTCATTAAAATGTACCTATATCCTTTTTGCAGATATTTTATATATATTATATATATATATCCGTCAAAACATAAAATCTATAATAAGTAGCATATTTACGGTTCATATGAAAATTATACATACGTGTTACCATAAATTACACAAATCTATATGCATTAACCCAATTTTTCATATCTTAATTTATACATATCATGAGGTTTGTTGATGATAAGTTCGCTACTGTTTGCTACATTGCTGTTTTCATATGACACATTATAATAATAATATTAGTGCACTAATCAATGCAAATGGTACTATATCAGGATTAACATTAAGAAATGTAGGTGATACTAATATATGATTATAGACTGTCAATATCGTTAATTAGTCTGTATAGTGTTTTGCATTTCATTAAAGGATTTAATACGGCGACATTTCTTGTTTTTATATACGATAGGAATGGGAGAAAAGTTGACCATGTGGCCAATGACCAAGTGGGCCACCTGATAAAAATGTTATTTGTTACCTGCCCATAATAATGGATAGTAATACAGACATCGCAAACATAAACAAACAATACGCATGTATTGCTAAAGCGTTATGATTCTGTACTGTATATTTTCACTACCATGTTTCAATCTTTATACCGGAATACAGTTAGCAAAAATGGTGTATGGCGACAGATATTGATAGCGCAGAGGAATCTATGCAGACGACATTGCACAAATGTAACTAACATACACTGGAATGAATTTAAAATGATTAGCTTACTGTTAATTACAATAATACAGGCAAAAGTTTAAAGTTAAAAAGGTAGACAGATTTCATGTACGTAATAATGGTTTACATTCGCCGACTATTGCCAGTCAACTCGTGACTAGGATATTTAAAGCAATAAAATAGGGGAATTCGAAAATCTAAGTAAATATTTTGTTATATGTAGGTACATTGTGTAGAATTCCATTATTCTCATAAATTAACTCATAATATTATTATTATATTACATCTAATTGTATCTACATGTTAAAGGAACATTTGATCCTGAGCTAATTGCGTCAACCACTGTTCATATTAACTATAAAAGTTAAACTTTTCCTGTTATTTTCACCTTCATTCTGTAAAAAATACTATGTTTTTGTGAACTTATTCGCCGTGTTTTTATTATTTTATCATCACATTGAATTATTACCAGACCCATTTGCATAAACGATGGAGGTCGTATGAATAAAACATAAACGTGGTTAGGCTGTATGAAGTTGGCACAGTGCTATGTCGATTTGAATATTGTCACCAATAGAAAAAAATGTACATAATGGCTCGAAAATATCAACGACAACAATTTTACATCAAATCCGGAGTGTTATACCTATGTTTGAAACAAAACATATATAATTTTCTATAATATTTCCAAATAAATGTTACAGAATAGAATTTGTTAAATTAAATAGATTTCTTAAATGCATATTCCATGACAATTAGGTAATTAGCCTTATAGCGTCTATGTTTACATAATAATTGACTCCATAGATATTGATTTTTAATTATTTTATGCATCATATGCAGAAAAAAGCTAGAATTCTATTCTATTAAATTTCTAGTATTAAAGTAAAAGATTTAGTACATACACGTTTCATTTAAGGTGCAGATGCTCCCTTCGTCTGACCCAATTAATTTACCTATAATTAATGTCCTATAAAAATGTAAAATGACAGTTGATCTAATGGTCTTTCCTTGCAAATATGAATTTTATAAATGTAATAATAAATTTATATAAATTATTTAAAATATTACTTTGAATTCGTACAAGAATTTGCCTATATTTTAATACACAATCTGCACAGTCTAACACTATTGCAGTACAAACATCTCCTTTCAATATGGCACTTCAAATAAATCTAAAAAATTTTTCATTTATAAATGACTTGGTGAATGTTTTATGTCTCGAACGAAGTAGAGTTTGCAACCCCGAGGGCAGACATTTCACGCCTCAGAAATTAAATATTTTAAGACAATGCAAAAGATGAATTATTACGAAGATTGTTCTCTCTGTAGTATCACTATTGTTGAATACTAATTTAAAATAACAGATATTACTAGATCTACTAACTATTAATTCTACTGAAATAAATGCTTGTTAATCAATAATGCAATAACAACTGATAGATCATCACATCGAATATATACGTGAGTACCGAAGCGTATCTAGAGGTAGATACTAAAGATGATATCTAACATAATTGTTTGTACAAACAATTTTAGATACGTAGTATATTAATAATAGTACCTATGCGACAAAAGCTACACCGACAACGTGCGGCTCTTACATTATAAATACATGAACTTTTATAAAACAAATGGGTCTATGAAAGTTCTTTACAATGCATTTCGAAAATCAGTAAAAAATATATTTTAATATCTATTTATTAATCCCGGCTATACATAGATCATATGGACGAAATCATGACCAGAAGTTAATTCTATGAAAACAAGTTAATAATGTATCTATTCTATCATTCAAGACTTAAAGATACCCCTTCATTAGCAGGAAATTTTAAGGAAATTGGAGTTGTAGCTAACAACAACAACGAGGGGCATCGTCAGTCGGAAATAGCGTCACTCACGAAATGTCACCGAATGAGTTCATCGAATTATCGAATTGACAAATAAAAGCAGGCAGAATTATAACTACCTTGTTATCTACACAATCATTAGTTGATAATGGATTTCGTACGTCAATTATACCTAAGTATTAAACATTCACTAAAATGTAAGGCAGGGCTGACTGAAGAGTAAACAATCTCACTCTCAATCTTAGCAATAAGACTTTTGTAATGCAACATGTAATAACTTTTTTTCTATTTAATCTTAATCTCAATCTAATTTAATCTCGCGTGGAATTTGACTTTATTTTACTAAAATAAGACAAATTTTCTAAAATAAAAGTAGCCTAAGTTACTCCTTATTACATCAGCTACCTGCCAAAAATAGTTCCGTCAAAATCGGTCCAGCCATTTTAGAGATTAGCCGAAATAAACAGACACAGACAAAAATTATTTTGGTGTATGTACCGTATTTATATTCATATGCATGTAGTAAATAGACGGACTATTTCTTACTTCGATATTACAAACAGACACTCCAATTTTATTTATATGTATAGATAACTTCTATACATAAATACACAATTGAGGCAGATGGCAGACTTAACCCCTTGAGGCATTTTCTCCCAGTCAACCATAAGGCATAAAGAGCTTCATGTTACGTTGGTTACTATGAATCTGACAAAATATACATAGATACTCGTATGTGGCCATACTTACATATATACATATATTATACCTACTTAATATTTAATAAACATCTAATTAAATCTCAGGACAATTCACACAGCATCCCCTAGCTAAAGCTTGTGTTATGAGTAAGTACTAGACAACTGATACAAATACATAGACTTTTTATCGTAAATACATACATATTATACATAGAATCCAAAATCCAGGTAAATCTCATAAACTATACTACTCGATAAACTATAAGATACAATAAAATCAGCAGAAATCTGAAAATAAATTTTGAACTGTTCGTACTAAATTGTTCACGTGACCAGTGTGTATTATGTAAAATATAATTAAAATAATTTTATAAAGCGTACTATTCTTGTATCATACGTAATAATAATAATCAAACAATAATAGCAACAGATGATTTAGATTGAATTACTAACAAATATATTTTAATAACTAGATACTGTAATAAAAGTAAAATAAAAGTTATAAAAATAAATAAACTTAAAAAGATATCGTATTAATTCTATTTTCACGGATTCCTAAACCGTACTAAATTAAACCATCAAGCCGACGGAAGTCGTAAGTGAACCGTTTTCCGCCGATACCTGACCTACGACAAAATGACTTTTTTTCATTTTAGTATTTTTTCAAATTTGCCACCAAGTGATTTAACAATCCACCATTAAGATGTGTGTTTATATGGCAGATCTATGAAAAATTATACTTAATTACTGTTATTATCTGCTACGGGAATTGTATTATGTGTGAGGTCTACTGCTCTATAGTATAATTTTTTAAGGCATCCGTATACTGTAACAGGCCCATCTGTCTGTGTCATCTACTGTTATCACCATAATTTCTTCCAAAAAGATATATTTTTTTATAAATATTATTAGTAAATTACAACTATCTCGGGTACCTTAAATATTTATTCATTGCTGTACAAGTACTAGTATTATACACAAATAGAACTTAGACATGTACAATTTCATTTTTCAACTAGAGAGGTAAACGTATACACTAGAGTATTGTATCTTTCATATAATGAATAAATTTCAGATAATTTAATGCTGTAACATACTTTTCTATAAAGTAGTAATTTCAACAATTTAATGAAATATGTAATTTTATTTTCTTCTCTTATATTTTTGCTACTTATATAATAGGTATTCCAAAATTGTGGGAGTTTTATCATCATAAGAGTATAAAATGAACCAAGCAAAAAATGTCTCATTCAATACATTTAGAATACCTAAATCTCTATCAATATGCACTTAGTGCCAATGGAGACCTACCAGGCCCTATATAGCTACAAATATATACCATACACACCATATGTACCACACCCTAAAAATATTACTTAGAAGCCAAACATAACTAAGCGTTATTTCTAAAGTTAACTGAATTTAAAATCAAATCTAAATATCTTTATTCATGTAAGTCTATTATAGTTTCTTATGATACGTCATGTCTACCATCAGTTATGAGTTTTCGAGCTAAGAACTGATAAGAAACACAGCTCTTAAAAAATCTTTTATTCATTCTTCCTGTGATGTATTTAGATCAATATTAGATGTCTACAATATATATTAGACAATGCAGTAAACTACATTATATTTCAGTTACGATGACAGCTCTTTTAATTTCCTTCACAAAAATTACAAACGCATTTCCGACAAAGAAACCACGCCCTCGTCACACGCCTCATACGTCAACTTGTCTAAACACATTGACACACAAATCTACCGTCATCGTATGCTTTGTATTACAATACTACATCAAAGTAGCTAGATTATACAAAGCCGTAAAGCTACTTAAAAAAAGCAGTTATATTTCAAATATATAACTGAGGGTAGAGATTATTAGTAATGGTTACTAATAGTTCTAATGCGATCTATTATCATATCAGGTAAATCTCGTGGTTACTGGAAACCACCATCAATTCCTGATGATTTAGCCACGAAGTGAATTGACGGGATTGACCTGACTTGATGTGTATACTATCTTCCTAATACCCGGCCACTGTATACAATTAGCGCAAACTTGTGTACCATATCATTATCATACTTTAAAAAAATATTGCGACTTCTACGTTCTGGCTACCTTATGCTATAAAGCTGTACTATATAAGATCCTTAAAATATCATTAGGATACCATAAACATCTCATTTATTAATAGTCGACTGTTGAGTTTAGGCATCTTCATAGATCATTGTTTTGTTTAATTTCGCTACCATTATGCTAATGGTACAAATATTCAGCGCGGAAACCACCGCTACTGGAAGCGTTACGACCTTCTCCATTAGTAATCAAATTTCTACCTTTATTGAATCTATGTATACCCATATCGCGACACACGTTTCGTTTCTGAACGAAATATCATTAGGCAATAAATAAAGTTCAGATTTAGCTTAGATACTTAATATCGACTACTAATTAAATAGCATAATTAAACAAATGTAGGTAATGACATGGACTTCCACTAAACAACTAATTCGATAAAATATAAAAAATACACTCACCTAAAGAAATCGTTCCTACAGAAGAGTTTGTTGTCCCTAGAATAGCACTTGTCGGCAAGAGGCGCGCGACAGTCCGCGCAACGCACGCATGCTGCGTGCCACGCGCGTTCCAGCACGTGCAGAAGGAATTTGTCCAGGATAGGCTTCTCGCAGCCGGCGCAAGCCATAGCGCCGCCTGCCTCGCCCCGTCCTGCAAACACATCGAGTATACAACACTGTTTTTGTTTCTTCATGGCCCTGATGGTAAGTGGCAAACAGTAATACCATATCACGGTGTTCCACCCGTGGTACCCCTTGTGCATTGTCCTTCCGATTGACTAAGCTGCTTCTATACACTACTATGTTTCACTATTGGAAATGCAATACAGCTTAAAAAACAAGCCGCTTGGCAGCTGAATACCACAATAGTACCTACTTGTACTTACTATGTAGATGACTTTTTAGTCTTAGCAGTACAGTTAGTGTTTTAATATTTATATAGTTCATCTTTTAGTATATGCAAATAGTATATTATTATACTTGTACATGTTGTGTGTTTTTTATAATTGGTAAAATTGTTCATTAATTAGTCTCTATCCCAAAAATAGACTACTAGAGAATCCTTTTATCATTACTGCAGCTACCATGTTCGTATTTATCAATAACGTTAAATAAATAAATAAATATTATCGTTTATTCAACGGTATAAGCTGATGTTATGGGTTGCCATATTATCACAATTTCTTGTATTATACGAAGGAAAACAATGATCAACCAGTAACAACATACAATCGTTTATCCTAACTGATTCATCAACGCACACAATTTTCTAGTTATGTATAAATAGCCACCCCAATAGGGCTGAAATAAGGGATTCACAGTTGTATGGAAACCGTCAATTTCAGAACGGCGAAATTTGGTAGTAAATTTCTTCTAATTGGGCATAAATAGAGTAGGTACCTACTCTCAATTGTATTTACCTATTGGTTTTGTAACTACAATACCAATGGATACAATGTACTTAGTATATAAACGCATTTCAAAAGGTGTTAATACATTTTGCTTCAAATGGAATCAATTAAACATGTCCAAATATATATTTATAACCACCAAGTAGGTATGCCTGGACCTAGGCAGACAAGAAACAGCGTGAACGTAGGCGTAAAGAGACGCTTACAAATCATAAAATCTGTAGCTTGTGCCTGGTTTAGGCATACTTGTACCATTACTTATACATGTAAATTCGCATTATATTACAAGTTTTGTAGGCGATGGATAATATCAATATGTGAATATAAAATCCAGATTTAGTCTACTCTAATATTATTAAAAAATCTATTTCTGTATGTTTGTAACGAATTAACTTAAAAACTATTAAACCTATGTAAAAATAAATTCATAATGTGTACCTATATTTTTGTATAACTTTTAAGCGGTATATAAAATTCTAATTAAGTACCTCCGGAGACTATCATCAATATATACCAGTACAAAAGACAAATACAAAATCATGTCGGTTGTAAAACAGATGAAATATTGTTGTGCCTAGCCTATGGGTTTTCTCACTCTATGTTATTTAACTTTGATATATACTATTTGATTTTGATCAAACCTATTATAAGGTAAGGTTTTTGCACTATTTGTTCAGTTTATGTAATAACATCAAAATCCAGAACGTAGGTATCTTTTAAAAATCACCGATATTGACAAATATTAACAGATTGACGTTCAGGTCAGTTAGTTTTTTACATTACATGATAAGACTGTAAAGGAGAAATTAAGATCTCGTTGTTTTACTACTTAGAGAAACCGGGTCGAAAATCTAGTTTTATATGAATAAGGTACAGCCTACTTTACCTTATCCTAAACTCGGTAGCAATATACAAATAGAAGATAATAGAACAGGCTTTACGATCGATAAACCTAAGCTTGAATAAAGTTTTATTAGCGTATGTTACATTACTAGGCTCTGTATAGGTGACCGTAATATAAAGATGATGTATACGCGTTTAGTAAACGTGTTATAAGGATGTTGTCTGAAGGCGCATAAAACTAGTATAATCTATAGATACTTAAACAGCCATTTTGTTGGTAGGTACTGGTATCAACGCCTGATCGAAAATATATGAATATAAAAAAGTTGTTGTATAGATAATAACATCGACATGATTACAAATAGAAAAAAATCTAAAGTAATACCTAAATTAAAGACAAAATATATAATTTTCTTTATAACAATACAATAATGGATGCATACAAAACATACTGTACCAATATTTAAAAACTTTTCACATTTCAAAGAAATCAGTTTTCTTTTTAAATAAATAGCATTATCCTACAATAAAAGCACACGCGGATATTCGAAAAAAGATTATTTTCGATTTGTTCAGTTTTCATTAAAATATACCGTATACAATTTGGCACAATTTCGCAATCTATTCAAAATAATAATTAAAACAGATAACTCCCATCTGCTATAAATTAAAAAATATTCAATCGAGCATACCGATAGTATTTAAAATAAAGTGAAGTTTAATTGAAAGCCACAACATAAGTAATGCGAATTATGTTTACCTTTCGTATTTTATAGAAACTACTAATAGTCACAACCCTATTGTGCTTCTCTTCTTCCAAATATTACTCATTTTTGGAATTTAACTGTAGACCTAAAATAAAACAAAATTTGGAGTAAACCTGAATTGGTAAACAAGATAAGAGAGGAATTTCCAAAATGTTTATTTTTATATTTAATGCAGTATTTTAATCTCTGTGCGGTAGGCAGACCATCATGACATGAATCTCTTTGATAATAAATTATTTTCCATCGCAACTATTTTTGCTCTCCTTCTATTACTGCCTAACATCGTACAATTTTGTTTACATGACACTATCATGCAGACATGGAATTAAATATACAAGTTTTAAAAAGTATTGTCAACTGAAACCCTATAAAAATCCAGCTACTTTTGGTCAACACGCCCGTTTGAGGCTTTGACATTTATTACCTTAATTTATGAAGGTCGTCATGGCGGTTTAAATTTAATATTCCATATTGAAATCGAGTCCAATTGATCGCCATTCTGCTCTGCGTTTGGATTTCGCGTCTGCTAGCAATTCACCACGGTTATGGAAGTGCATTGATGCGTGTGATTTTTTTCTAAAGTTTACCACTTATAAAATTTGATTGTTTATAAGTATTAAAATTTAATATAAACATCCATCAGAAATAAATATTGATGGATTTGAAGTTATCGTTACAAAACATCAATGGACGATTTGTTCTTGAAAAGACGTATTTGTATGTGAATAATTAATATACCTACCTACATATAAATAAATATGCTAAATTCTATAAATGTGTATGTATAGAAAAATAAGTGGTAGTAATAAGGGGAAAGTCCGGCATAAAGCAAAACTTCCGGAATAGGTAGGTACATAAGTTTTAAAAACTACTTAAGACAATAAAATTAAAATAATGTACGAAAAAGCATATTACCAATTTTTCATGACCTTTCCGCTAAAACAATATCAACACTGAATTAATAGGTATATTTTGGTAGGAAATAGTCTTGTCAAGGTACTATTCAGACCTTGGTATAATTATTTGGTGTTTCATGTTTTCACAAGTACTTTCCAGTTTTTATGTTTTCTTTTTCGGAAATGGTCTAGACATTCAATTTAATTGTAAATTAAGGTATTGTATGTAAACGACTGCGCTTTTCAGTCAAGTTCAGTGCAACTCTTTATTCATCCTTATAGGTTTGTATTGTTATCGAAATGCACAATTATAAACAAATAATCTGAAGATTAAATCCTAATGTCTATGGGAATAAAAAAACTACTCGATGGACGGAAAAAAATTAAATGGCTGCGTATGAGACTAAAAGCGTCACAGTTTAAAATTTCTACAACATTGTTCTATAATTTAAGCGACCGTTACCTACCATTTGTCTACCGTTACCATTTCCCATCAGATGATTCGTTTAATAATACTTGATTACCATTATAAATATACAAAAAAGATTCTATAAGTAATGTACCTATTATTCCTTATTGCTGAACTTGTGGTTTCCAAATCTGAACTGCTACTTTATAATGATCACTACACAGTATTATTATTACTGTTTATTATATTATACATTGTTTTTTATTTGTCTGCAGTGAGGGATAACTACAACCCCGACAATGTTTTTGATTTATTACCATAATATTAACATGTTTGGTAAGCGGTTTAATTTTAATGCACTAGTAGGTGGGTTATTTGTATCTATGTAGAATAGATAAATTCTTACTATATTCTGAACATAAAAAGCAGTGATATCATATATAAATAGCTACTAGGTTAATTTATAAAGTTGGTTTGTGACTGGACTACTGCTTAACTGGTTAAAAGCTGTTGTCTTTATTTTTTATCTTAAGCGGTAACCGTCGCCTATTATCGTATGATACACACGATACTAAACGTTGCTATTCCAGAGGAGTACTTATATGGATCTTATTCTAAAATTTTACTGTTTATCTACGCCCAACAACCGAAACACATCTTACAACACAACTGAAATAGGTAGGTATAGACTGAGATACCCATGCAGACTTTTTACAGTCTACTTCAAGTCAGTTTACTTTGTAACAGTTCATATTTTTTATACGCACTTGTATTACTACAAGAGATTACGTCACTTGTCGTTTAATTATGCTCAACCCGCTAAACCAATTTGCACACAGTCTCTAGAATAGGGGCATAGATAGCTTACAATTATTAACTCGCCGCAAGCACTCAGCCTTGTTGGTTTTTTACATTGTTGATGAATAAGTAAGCACAGTAGATACATGGGTAGGTATACCTTTGTATATTTTATTTACTTCTTCTTTCAATGACAACAAAATGTAATTTCTCCAGAATGTTGCGACGAATTTTGTGCATTCTGTCGCATTTTTTAGATCTTCCGTTGTGCATGTTGTTGGGCACAAGGACAGGATAATAGATAGGCCATAGTCTGGGACAGCGCTCCACAGTTGCAAGCCTCCCTTGAAGCGACACCTCTGTACAGTTTAGTTACTCTCACATCTTACGTATATATACGTCTTAACAATATAAGAAGTAACTGAAAAAGTTGTTATCATCACAAATGGGGGAATCGGACTATTAGTAATAGAGACTGGAATGTCAATTTCTCAAGTACCTAAGTACCTAGGTAGGTACTTCAGAAATGGGGATACGATGCAATGCGACTCTATTCTATAGGTAGATATACAATAATAAAATTTTCGGATATATTCTAAATGCAAATACTTGTTATTTATATACATTTACATATTCCGATAATTTTATACGGTTTTATAAAACATTTATGTGAGCTTTTAAATAAGGTTTGAAAAAAAATTTGCCATTTTTTCTAAAAAGAAAAGAAAATCATTCTACCATAGCCAAGAAAATCTTGAGACATACCATTGTCTAAAAATAGAATTGTTTGCCATTCACCTAAGCTATCTTGTCTATCATCGGGTGTTTTTATTCAAATTAGAAATGATACATGGAAATTAGTACATCATTATAAGACTGCAGATTATATCTAAGCAAAGCGTTTAAAAAGGTGTGAATAATTACATTTCATCAAAATTAAAGTTGGTAAATACATATTTCCCCAGAAAAGGAGGACATTAGTCTATAAAGTGCTGGCCAAGCGGATTGGTATAGCATTTCAATTAAAGTTTTTATGAGTGTCGTAATTTAGGTACCTATACGTCATGTTACAAACCTATAGATAAACTTGAATGCAAAATACCGTCCAATTGAAAATTATCATCAGATTCTTTGCTCTTCCTGCGTAGAACCTTTTCATATTTTAGTAGGCTGTCCTACTCAGTATGAATAGAGACATGCCCATACTTATAGCATTTGGAGTACGTAGATACTACTAGATACCTACTTAGGTATTCTTGGGTAGGTAATAGAAAACTATCATAATTTTCTAAAAAGGGGATTGAAATGTGGTTAATCCAACGTAGTATCTAATATTAGCACACCCCTGTATTTCCAATGGTCGCAAGTTCGACTTTTCGCACGGTACAAACATTTGTATTCATGAATATGATTGTTTGTATCGGTATAAATATGATTCTAGGAAGTACGTACCTACTACATATATACCAAGTAGTAAACATAAAGAATATCTAACGATTTTATTTAAATACAAAACTTGTAGGTTGTTACTAGTAGGTATCTACCCATAATATTGTATTAATTCCGAAATTTTAACTTTAAGTGATGATATTAAAATGTTGACGTGGTAATGTATACAGATAGGTATATGGTTAAATGTATTCCCAGAGTTTGAAAAGGTCATAAGGATACAATACAAATAAATAAATATCAAAAATTGACAAATCGTTGTCAAAAGGAGCATGGTTCGGTTCATTTTGACCTATTACTAGTAGTTATGTTTCTTAGTGCAAATTAGTTATCCGAAAAATGATTAAATAGGTATGCTAATTATTTATTAATATCTGTAACATACAATTAAAAAATTCGGAGCTTATTCCATTTTTTTGTCTTATGAAGGATTAGGTATGCCTATATTGGATATGATGTTGATTAATATCTTGTCATATTAGGAGTCTCAATGGATGTTTCTATAACCAACTTAACAGAATATAATGGGAAACAGTATTGAGAGGAAGTGACTCAAGCTCCAGGATTAGTCAGTAGGTACAATAGGTATTTCATTGAAGTTTAAACACTCACTACTTCCAGGTACTGGAAACTAAGAACTGGTGTTAATATTTATAAATACATAGTAATAATATATACATCTATGTATAATAACAAACAAAACAATAAAATAACCTCCATAGGTCGGCATCGTCAAGCACATTCACAGTTCAATCCAACCATAGACAAACTAAAAGTTTTAGGTTATGATCACAGGACACTAACTTTTACCAATGTGGTGTTGGTGGAAGGGGGCATGGGCCCCCCGTCCTGAGGCAAGGAAACCCGCCACTTCGGCACCTCTACACGGCACTGCACTTGACACACCGCGACGATTTCGCGCGCCGTCACCAACAACGATACAACACACGCGACTACTGACCGCGTACTGACGAAAAAGCTGTAGTTTTGAGATGAAGGCCCGTGATAAAACGAGACGACAATACAAAACAAGAGCAAGTTGAGGCGAGACAGAAAGGGTAGCGTTGGAAACGGGCGTGGTCCAAGTGTGTAGCCACTAGCGTTAAGGGGGTGGCGCCTGCGATGTAATTTTTTCCATAGGTTTTTTTTCGTGCGTGTTTCTGTGCGGTAGTGGGATTTCATTTTGTGGGACACGTGCGGCGTTCGCAGTAAATTTAAATTGGCTTGCCGGTAGATCGGGTGGTAGCCGAGCATAATTATAGAGCCTGGATTTTTCGGTTGCGTCTCTAGGCAAGCTGGCTGTCTTATTTTATGATTTTGGTTTGGTGCTGTGCTCCACGATGTTTTGACTGTGGGCGTGAGCGAGTTATGTTTATGTAGACAGTTGCCCGCCTTCAAAACATAACGTTCTCTTGCCTCTGTATCATTTCTTTATTTTGATTTAGCTCTGTATTTCTAAACAGCTAGGTGAAAATGTTGAGTGAGTAAAAAATATCTGTTTAGCTAGATCATTACATATGTTTTGAATAACATACGTTATATCTTAGGTACCTAATGCATAATTAAATCTTAATATAAAATATTATAAGTAACATTCAGGTAGATAGAGACATGTTTATCAACTCATATTAAAATTATGTTAGATATGTCTAATTCTCTTAATACAATGCCAAAAGTCAAAACTGAGCACGACACACGTAGATATCTAAGTGAAATCAAAATAAAGAAATACCTACCTTAGGTAGGTTACCTACATGCAAGGTATAAAGTGTGTTTGTGCATGGTCACCGTATGTCATAATAAAAACAAAATCAATTATGTTGCCAGAATAATATTTTAAAACTAAGTACCTACTTTGTGATACCTAACTACTTAGATAAACAGTTTATAAAGTAAATAGTTTCATTTGAAAATATTATTATGTTTTCAAACTAACACATTTAGAAAATTTGTCTAATGTTAAATCGATTCATATCTGATTGAAAGGGCGTCCATAACGTAAATGTAAAGCTTAACTTAATATCTTAAGTCTACCACGTGTACCATAGCAGGTACCTATAGGTACATAGGTACTTAAAAACGAATTAAATATATGAAAATATAAGTAGCTCATACCCGAGCTAAAGGCAAATCTAACTTACCTCTCCTACCGTGCTAAAGGATACGTACCTACTCCCACGCATATACGACAGGAATAAGTACGATAATTGAATTGGAACATTAAGTAAAGTAGAGTCAGATCTAAACTATAAAATCATAGAGTCGACTGCAGCAAATGGTGTTTGGGTAAGTAAGGAGGTACTAGGTACGTCAAAATCATGATAATAATTATTTCAATTAAGAACAATGTTTGACACTTACGCAAGTATTTTTTTTTTATCATTATCACAGATGGTAGGGCCATCTGTGATAGCTACTTCAGTTGAGAAGGAACTTGATTGGATTATGTTTTTTCTATAATCGTGTGGTGTTAATGCTTAAAAAGCTCAGTAGATATAGATATATCTAAAAAGCTCAGTAGATATAGATATATCTACTGAGCTTTTTAATTAAAATAGGTAAGGTAGGTAGGTAATTAATTAATAGGTAGATACCTAGTAGAAATTAATAGAATCTTGGGGTAAATCTAGATATGTTACAACCCACGTTAGAAATAGAAGAAGAAAAAAATATAATGGAGACTGAAATAGAAGATGAGGTAGAAGATTGTACTTATATCTACATTACAATTGTGGCATTAATAATAAAAAGCCTGGACAATTCACACCGTGATCTAGTTCTGAACTAAGCAGAGCTTGTATTATGGGTACTAGACAACTGATATGCATATTTAAATACATTTTTTATATATTCTACGTATATTAAACACAAATACGAACAATCAAACTTATAAATACAAATGTATTCAATGCGTGCGTGGAATTAAACTTGCAAACATTTTCAGACGATGAGCTAAACAGCTAATCCATTGATTGTGAGATAAAGTAAATGTATTGTTATTGTAATAATATTAGTGCGTTCGCTGATCTATATTTTATTTACATAAATGTATATAATATTATATTTCCACTCATGCGCCACCTACTCTATTTTTTGTAAACACTCTCTTTCCAAAGGTTGTCTGTAAGAGATTGCATTAGCGATAAGACCGCTTGTTTACTGCGTTTTACTTTTTATGTTTTTAATTTTGTTCATGTCCTTATATGTTGATGAAATAAAGTGTTATAAATAAGAAAAAATATTATCAAAATATTTTTAAAACTAAGTTATAGTGACAACGTTCTAAAAGTATTTAACAAGCTGCTAACACGTTATTGCAGGCGACTTTACTCTTCAAATGGAGTAAATATTCTAATAAATTATTTAGTCTTCTACTCTAATAGATTTAATTAAATATAAAAACTATTAAAGTAATAGACTCTGTAAACTTGTCACTCACTAAACCTAACTTCTAAATATAATTTTCCACTTCTGCCCTCTATCGGGTTTCAAGTTAATATAAACAGCGCCATCTAGGAGCAACTATATTAAGTTATAAGTGCATTATTCCCTACATTTAGTTCTTAAACTTAATAATAGATGGCGACCCCGAAAGCAGACAATTTTCTTTCAATAATTTATATTTGTTGCATATATGGGATTTTCTAATGTAGGTATTAATACTTATCTATCAATGTATAATTCTTCAACGAATGAAGTTATTTTTGTAACCTGATTTAAAATTCTATGAGGTAAGGCGCCACAGATAGTATCGGGTACCTATATAATGTTTATATACAGACAGCTGTATATAATATAGTCTATAGTCTAGACTATCCATTAAACTGTTGTTCAGGGCCTAATTAAGAAGGTGCAAAGCCCGTAGCAAGAGGACTTAATTTATTATTACTTCTTAAATACTGTTTCACGTAAAAACTACGGAACAGATTTTGATGAATCTTTACACTGAAATAGTATATAGTCCAGAATAACACATACGCTATAACTTAAAAAGATGTTATGTGAATTGTTACTTGACATTTATCTAATGATAAATGTCAAGTAAGTGTGATGCAGACAAAATTGCGAGGGTCAGATAACGATAAATGAAAAAAGTTATGATTTCAATATTTTTACTTCATACTTCCTTACTTATTTGTATAATATGTTATAGCACTTCCATAATAAATATCAGGATTAGTACATTTGATCTTAAATTAATTTCGATTGTTGGACTTAAACTATCTCACCACTGGTCAGTCTTTCTCGTTTCTTTTATAATATCTTTCATTAAGAATAAAACTATATTATTTTATTTATTTCATTACATTATTAATATTTTACGGTCTCTTGAGTCTCCCTTCCATTTTATAAGTGCATATAAAAAAAACCTATGATGATAGACACCGCATAACCGGTAAAGACATAGTGACTGACGTCATGCTCAATCTAGCATAGCATCAGTGGGGGATGCTCCACTGGTGCTCCGCGTATAGCGTTATATCACTCTCTACTGAGTCTCCAGAGAGGTCTACTGAGTCTCTCTTGATGTCTCATATAGTATGAATATCTTCATGTTATAAGTGAATATAAACAATCTGAAGATAGACACCATGTAACCATTAGAGACGTAATGAATGACGTCATGCTCTTCCTATCATCTTCCACCGGCACTCCGCATATACATACATCTTATATATAAAATTCTCGTGTCACAGTTTTCGTTCCCATACTCCTCCGAAACGGCTTGACAGATTCTCATGAAATTTTGTGAGCGTATTGAGTAGGTCTGAGAATCGGACAACATCTATTTTTCATCCCCCTAAATGTTAGGGATAGTTCACCCCTAAATTTTTATTTTTTATTTTAAGGCAAAACAACGTTTGCCGGGACCGCTAGTTAAATATAAAAAGGTACACATAAAGCTTAAAATATACCCTGAGTATATTTATTTATAAATATAGATTCATATACGAATTATTGGACACAGAGAAATCTGGTATTGACCTAGTGTAAAATGCACATTAATATCTTTAAAACACTATTATCTGTTTACACATATAACTATTATATTTCAAAATAGAGTATTTTTTATCTCTTTACAAATACAATTTTAATTTTTTATTCGTTTAGTTACAGGACACTATCTTCATCATACCATTTTAAAATTCCAATAGCCAATAAATATAAAATTCCAATAGATTCCGCCTATACTTATATATGACATCCAAAATATTAATTATAACATTCTACAAATAGTATGAATGTGGAATGATTGGATGATTAGAAATTTGTATGTTTGTTCCTCAATTAAACTTAAATGGCTGTACAGACTTGTAGACATATATAATTTCCTACATTAACATTAGAATACTTTTATTTGAATCCACACTAACAATATCGCATTGCACGACTAGTTTGAGATAAAAAAAACTTATTTGATGGTCATTTATACTCAATTTCAACACCCGAATTTATAGTGGTATAAGTTTGATGTGTCCGTGGGTACTGTGTGTCTGTCTGTAACATAGCAGCATTTCCACGAATGGACCGATTATGACGCAGGTTTTTTTTAAAGCAGAAGTGATCGAGATGGTTCTTAACTACAATTAATTAGACTTTTTAATTCGGGGGATACTCAATTATTACAATGAAGTTGATATTATGCTTAACATGTAGGTAAATGGTATATGTGAGTATTAACATTATGTCCAAGCCTGCTTATGCCCGCGGCGTTGCATGCGCGCGATCTCTGCGCAGACGTCACGCTCGCGGGCGCATGCTTCTCGTAATTCTTGTTCGCGCGCCTGCTTCTCCTGCAACTGTTGCTGTTGTAAGCGAAGACCACTCAGCTGAGATTGTAGCGCTGTTACGCTTGAATACGCGCTGTTTTTAAGCTGTAAAAAAATTATGTTTGTAATTTTTTCTTACTAAATATTTTACAGAGCCCGTCATTATTGTTATTCCAGATAAAGTAGTTAGTCCCATTGTCAATTATGGTCATGTGCCTGAGTTCTGCCCTGAGTCTCATGGATTTAAAAGAAATCCTTATATAAAAATATGTACACATATTTTTTATTAAGGGTAAATGTATAATAAAAACATTAAAAAATCGTTCAGTAATCAGGAAAATTGAAATTAAAATAGAGTAATGTTTCAAATGCTTTGTATTATTATTTCTGCATTATTCTACTACAATTAATATATTGGCACAAACAACGCAAATATAACAAAATCAATTGATAAAAAATCATGTTATATTTGCTTGTTTGCAATTAACTAACCTGCGCTTCTCTCTCTTTACTTCTGACTTCCTGGTGAAAACTGTCCATTTGCTCCAATATTTTCTCTCGCTCTAACACATTGGCTTTTTGCCGTAGCCTATTTGCTTCAATTTTCTCTTCAACCTGTTTTTGTAGAGTAGCTAACACATCCTCCATGAGTATTGCACGGGCTTCGCGTTCTTTTGTCCAGAGCTGAAAATAGTCTTATTTGTATGAATAGGGCTATAATGATAAACTTGTATTGACATAACAGCACATCCATACTTTTGTTAAATTAACAATTTGTTGCCTGGAAATTTTACACAAAAACTATATAATGTTACAGCCTATTATTTTGTAGTTAAATATGGAACTAAAACATTCTAAACAAAGTTTTAACTCGTCACTGGTCCGCAAAGTGTTAATCCATCCACTTATTACACTTTATAACGTCTAAGTGTCTGTATAATGTCAAAAACAATTAATAATTTTTCAAATAAATAGTTTTATTTTTATCAATTGTCTTAATTTGTTACAAAATTTGTAGTTGTATATCATAACTTGCATAGCTTGAATAGCAAATTAATAATTACGTACTGCTTGGTAGTTTGTATTCATACTCATAGCACGGAGAGGTTTCACGTCTCTAAGTGTGTAAAGCCATTTATTTATAAAAAAAAAACTGTTTTCTTGGCATATGGAGAAAATACTTAAACTAACTTTAAAAAAATCATATAGCATATAAAATGTATACAGAAATACATATATAAAATGTATAACTTGTTTAAAAAAAACACCAGTCAAACATCTTTCCCACTCCTCTTTGCTAAATTCCAGTACCAAGTGCGGTAGAATAAAAAAAATATCTTAAGTACTAAAATTTATATGTATAGAGATTACTTCCAATTTATTTTTTAAAAATGTAATGCAACAACTTACTTTATCTTGTTTCTCGTTAATCTGCCTAGCTTCACCGTCGTACATAACATCAATGTTCTTCTGTCTCTGTCTCTCCCTCTCTCTGTACTCCTGTAACTGGGACAGCGCAGCGTCGAGCACCCTTTTGTGATTAGCACACTTGTCTTGTTCAGTTTCGTAATCCTAAATGCATAAGATATAAATAATATTATAATTATTAATTAGAGAACTCGAATTTTTTCATTGTAGAGACATAATTGTCTATTTGATTATCATGCAGTAAATAAATTATATATATGTAAATAGTATTAACATAAATAACTATTTATGTAATAATAATTATTCATTGATATAGATTATCCAGTAAAACATATAAGCGATATCACACATATATTACAAATATGATTGCTTTACTAAATTGAGTTAATAGTGGGATCGACAATCAGAGATAAAGATTTTAATTTCGAATGAAAACTAATAAATAACTTGCTTTTAATTATTTTAGTTGAATTTTCCTATGCAGTCAGTTCAAATTATTATAAACTTTGATATTGAACCAAAGATGTATGTATGAATTTGAAGTGGTAAGAGAATAAATTTACATTTGTATCTACTTGATAATCATTTTTATCATATCATATCATCATACATCTGATTATTCATTTTACCTTTAAAACTGCCTTCTTTACTTTATCCAACATTTCTAAGTCAAACTCAATTTCCTTCAGAATAGAAAGTACTCTTCTTTTCAATTTATACTTATGCAGACCCATGTTAATGATAGTGGCATCTCTTTCAGCCCTCAGCCTCGCTAGTTCTTTCTTTCGCTCGCTGGTTAAGAATTTCAATTCGTCAAGTACAAGTTTCTCTTTTTCTTCTATTATTCGTAGTTTTTTGACAACTGACTCTTTTTCACTTAGTTCTGCAATCTGGCCTTCGAGACTTTCACGAAGCTCCTGAAAAAAAGGTTATAATAAAATTAGAATCGATATCGGTGAAGGCCTACTGATAGTAATTAATTATCTCATTTTTTTTAACTAGGATAGCAAACAGGCTGTCGACCCATTAACCGTGGAACCGAAACACAGCTCACAAAGCAAGTTGTTTGGCGGCTGCAATATGTGAGACAGAGATAGCCATACAGATTACTTTTAAGTTTGCCTTTGGTAGCTCATTACTATTCCATCATATCTAGAACAATATCTATCTAGTAAATAGATACAAATACACAATTACTTAACAATATAAAAACACCCAAAAATCCATGTTTCAAATTAAAAATCTTCTTTCTTTAAAGGCAGTTGAAAATTATTAAACTGACAGAAAGATTACTAAATATTTAATACAAAAATGTTGCTTACATTAAAATTACATCCTTCATTATTAAAAATTTAACTAATAACAACTATATTTACCTTGACTTTCAGCTCTTTCTCTTTCAGTCTCTCCTCCTCTATCTGTATCTGGCGCCGCAAAGCTTCATCACGTTCCAGAAGTATTTTTCGTGTTTCTTCCTCTTCTTTCTTTTTCTGCATTTCTTTTTCTACTATTTGCTCCATCCTTAAAAGTAAACAACAATAAACTTATTTATATATTGCACTTAAATTTCAGAAATATCCAGAACAATATCCTTAAGTAGGACAATACCAGCATATGGAAACCATTCCATCAAAAGACATAATTTGATTTATCATGACAAAAAGTAGAATAGTAAAGTTACATTGGTATCATAAATACCAAATGAATATAAATTTTCATGACAATTGGTTGAATTGCTAATTCATATTTATTATTGTTTTCAATTAATATAAAATATCTGCATACCAAGTGGATTTTAACTTTCCATTAGCAATATATGAGCTGGCCGCTCGTAACTCAGGCTGTCGCAGCCGCCATGCATGGTGAAGTTTAAGCTCAGCTTCCTGTCGCCTCAACTGTTCCTCCTTCTCTATAATACCCTGGTTAATTTCTTGGAGTGTAGACGTTGGTACCCTGTTTAAATATGACCTGGAAGATATTTTCACAAATACGTAAAATTTTTCAGTAAAAAAATTAGTATGAATATTAACTTTTTTTAATTTAAATATCTTAGAATTTCATCAGATCAACTCATCAGATGGTTATGACAGATAGCATTAACAATATTACAAAATAGCAAAGTAATCAATTAGGGAGAGTGTAATATTCTAGCATTTTAATAACCCTGAATTGCTAGTTCAGTTCTAGAGGACACAAAAAAGAACTTTGTGTATCAATTTATATCTTTAGATGAGTTCAGCTCTAGCCAACACAGAAAAAAAAGAACTTTGTGTGTCAATTTATATTTTTCACTAACTCTCAAGTAAAGAACACCAATGACAACAAAAAACTCCTAGGCCTGTGATTGGAAAATTGTTCAGCCAGTGTAACATAGGCATATCAAGTGTAGCATTGATAAGACAACATTGACAGATGACAGTGACTCTGACTACTCTATCTGGTAGAAGTTGTGACTGTATGTATGTAAAAAGTAATCAATTGTAGTTTTTTTATACATTGAGTTAAAGAAAAAACATTGCAATTCTCTAAAAACATATCAACATTTTCTTACAACTACATAATGTACATTTTGAGTATTTCTTCCTAATAATTTTGCATAAATATTAATATTTATAATATAATATTTACCCATTTTTGAAAAGTTTAGGTTGTGATGCTAACGTTTTAAGTTCCTGCTGGTACTGCATATTCTCTTGGAATAACATTAGTTCCAGTTTTTTTCGGCGTTCTTCTAAGTGTCTGTAACCATGTAAATATTGTCAGCGCTATGAATTTTACATTATTTATAGTTTATAAATCTATTTATAGTTACTCTACAAATAGATTTATAAAACTGTTTAATTATTTATTTATTTATATAACTTCAATGCACAAAATACCAAGGTAAAAGTACATATGGCGGACTTAACGCCTTACAGCATTTTCTACCAGTCAACCACAGGTTGTGCAGAGAAACTGTAGGCGGTGCAAATTTATAATAATTTTTTTAAATAAATTTATAATAATTTATAATAATTATATAATAAGTATGTTTAAAAAAAATGTTTTATAAGCAATTTAATATTTTTTCTAACAGATAGAGGACATAATCTGGCAGTTTGTTGTAAAATCTTATGCAATTTCTATAAAATGAAACTACTTTTATCAAACATATACTCTGCATTTATAATAATAGCTTGGACATGTACAGGTTTACCAAAAATGATTTGTTAACAATATTACAGTCTACTTCTACTTACGCTGCTCTAATTTTCCTCTGGCTAAGCATTTCAGCCTCTTTGTTGGCCTTTTCATAGTATCCCTCTGTGGTCCATTGCTCATGATGCCGGGTTTTATTTGTATTAGCTTCAAAATAGTTAGCCACCTAAAAAAACATTTGTTATTAAAATTTATAAGTAGAACACTCAGAAAACTCAACTATAATGTAGACTGCATATGACATAAGTAATGTAGACATAAAAGGTGGCAAATGTTTTTGGAACATTTGTAATACAAACAAAAAAACATCACATCATTACTATGAAAGTAATTTGTTTTTTTATAGAGAATTATGGGAATGAACAAAGGTATGCTGAAAAGATGTACTTGGCTTTTTATATCTATATACATATGTATTAATAAAAATACCTTTTTTAATTCCTCGGCACGGCGAAGTTCGTTGTCTCGGCGCTGAGCAGCCAATGCTTGTAGTTGCCATTGAGGACGAGAGCGCGACATTGTCTACAAACAAAAAACATCAAAAGAAATTAATGCGTAAGTAAATAGGTATGTAATTATGCCCAGATATAGTTTTGAACAAGGAATAATATAATTTTATTTATTAATTTTTTTTTATCTATATTTCAGGGGTTTATAGGCTATATGTAGTAGATATGCACTATATATACCTTGTTTTAAAATGTCCAACAAAGATTAATGTTTTGATATCCAAACCGACTCACTGAACAACAACACAGCACATTTCGGACCTTATATGACTCACTTTGTGAGATCAATAAATTTATGTTTTCTGATTCACTGTACAAAAGCTAGTAAGCAAAGACCGAGCCAATTGACTTGTATTGCACGTGTAGTAGGCGTATAATATTGTCCGTAATTGAAACATGTGAGGTCAAGCGTTAGATTCAGTCCATACTCGGTAACAATTTACTTCCTATTTAAAACATGCAGCACGCGATTTCAAAATAAAACGTTAGATCATGCAGGTAGGTAAGCGAAATGAAAACAAACAGAACAGACACAAACGTCTAATTTTTTTTTTTAATAATGCTTTATTCATGACCATGGATACAAGTCCTTCAGTCGAATACATTTTTATAATGAATTTAATACAAAACATAAGAAATAAACTATTATATAAGCTTAGACAGTACAATTTTAGTAATAATTCATTAATATTAAATTTTTTCCACAGTATGTACAATGTAGTTATATATTGGAATAAAATATGCAAAGTGCGATAGCAAATCTTGAACACGGCGGGGAATACTTTGTGAGTGTTCCTTTGCGATGTCACTAATGTCACTGACAAGAATCAACCGTTGTATGTTGAAAACTTGACATTCAAATATAATATGGTTTATGTCAGCATTTATCTTGAAACAGTGGTTGCATCTGTTGTCATTTGTGATTTTAATTCTGTTGAGATGGGATGGAACTAAACAATGGCCGAAACGTAGACGACTGATGATAGTGATAAATTTTCTATTGTAATATTTGAATTTGCTGTACCAAGGTGTCACTGGTAAGTCTGGCTGTAATTCTGCATACCATTTTCCTTTATTTTCTGTGCTTATGTTCCAGTACTCTTTCCACACTCTTCGTAAGTTACTTTTAAAATATTGGTAGTAGTCGGTAAATGGCACTTTCAAAATGTCTGTCTGATCTTCATCATATTGTTGACGAGTTGCCAAGTCTACGACCTCATTTCCAGGTATGCCACTGTGTGAGGGTACCCATACAAATTCTACATTCTTATTTTTAATTAAAGTTATTAACCTATTTTTTATTTCATATATAATATAATTTTGTTTATATGTACAATTGCCACTGGATAAAGTCTCCAATACACTCTTCGAATCAGTAACTATTAGTATATTTACATTATTTACAAGGTTATTAACATATAACAAAGCACTTAATATAGCATAACTTTCGGCTGTAAAGATGCTGCAATTACTTTTGAGTTTAATACATTTAGTATATTTCTTTTGTGGATCATAATAAGCTGCTTTAACATCATTTAAATTTTTAGAACCATCGGTATAAATAACATAAAATTCTGATTTCTTATTTAAAAATTCTGCAAAGTCATATTTGTTATATATTAAATCTAAATGAAATGTAGTGTCAAGGAAACAGATTAGTGAATCATATGGACATTTGTATACTGGCCATTTGTCATTTATATACATTCCACCTGTAGCATTTTTAACATGTGTCATTATTATTGAAATTTCAGGTAATGATCCTGAAATAATAACAGATGCTGATATGGGGGAACCTACAACTAACTGAGAAAGCTGTGCAGGATATAAAATATTTTTAAGCACAATACTATTACTGGAAGATAATTCCTTTATACAAAATCTTTCTGCCAGTTGCAAACGTCTTAGAGACAATGGAGGTATACAATTTTCAACTTCCATACTATTTATAGGCGTGGAACGCATAGCTCCACTAATGATTCTCAACCCTATATTTTGTATAACATCTAATTTCCTCAACAACGTGGTACTAGCAGTCATATAGGCTAAACTACTATAATCAAAATGACTTCTGACTATGCTTTTATACAGTATATTGAGTGTTTTGGGATCAGAGCCCCAGTAAGTCCCTGCTAAACATCTCAAAATATTTATGCTCCTCATTGCATTTTGACAAATGTAATCTATATGTTTATCAAATTTTAATTTATTGTCCAAAACTATACCTAAAAATTTGTGTTGATGGACAATGGGTATTATTTTGTTATTATACATAATTTTAAGATTAGATTGTGTGAATGTATCTCTACTAAATACTAACACAGAGCTTTTTTCTGAACTGATTTCTAGTTTTAGAATATTTGAATAATACTTTTGTAATTGATTTAGTGCAGTATTTATATTATTTATAGCCAAAGGCAAACTTTGACTCTCAGTGTATAAAAGCAAATCATCTGCAAACTGTAGTATGTTAACTTTTGTAGTATCCACATAATTGAGGATTTCAGATGTATACAAGCCATACAATAGAGGGGACAGGGTTGCTCCCTGCATTGTTCCCCTGTTAACATATTTAGGTCCATGTAGGATATTATTATACTTAACATAAACAGTTCTGTTTTTTAAAAAATTAAAAATCCAGTTTAATATTTTGCAGGGGAAATTTAAATTATGTAGCACATGAATTAAGGATTCTATATTTACATTATCGAAAGCACCTTTAACATCTAAAAATACACACACAACATTGGAATGACTTAATTTTGCTTTTTTTAATAGGGATATAAGAGTTACAAAGCTTTCAGAACAACTTTTGCCTTTTCTGAATCCAAACTGAATATCTGGCAACTTATTCTGTGTTTCAGTAAAGTAGTCCAAACGTAATTTTAACATGTTTTCAAATAGTTTGCCTAGACACGATGACAAGGAAATGGGCCTATAAGATGATGCACAGTTAATATCCTTATTAGGTTTCAAAATTGGAATAACACACTGGGTTTTCCAGGATTCCGGTATTATTAAATTCTCCCAAAGTTTATTGTATATATCTAATAGTATTTTAATTGCATTTGGATGTAGCTGTTTTATTAATTTATATGTAATATTGTCCAAACCTGGTGTTGTATCTTTCCTACTCTTAAGCGAAATATGAAGCTCGGCCAGTGTAAAGGGTCTGTTGAGAAAGGAGTCACTGTCATTTTTATCAGATTGATTCAATATATCAACTAAATTTGCATCATTGCATTGTGATGGAGCTGTCAACATATCTAAGAAACTTTGTACCCAGTCATCATTAAAATTTTTGTTGGAAGATGTACCTATCCTTTTAAACTTTTTAATGGAACTCCATATTTTTGAAATAGGTGTCATTCTATTGAAGCTACTACACAACTCTTGCCAGGAATCTATGCGTTGATCCTTTAGAATTCTTTTTTTTTTAGCATCAACTTTTTTATAATTTATGAAGTTAACAATTGTTGGGGTAACTCTATATTGTAAAAGGGCTCTCTTAGACTGTTGAACAGCATCATCACATGTTTTGTTCCACCAAGGCACTGGTTTTCTTAAAGTGTGTATAGTTTGTTTAAACTTTGATTTTGGTACTGTCTTGTCTCTGATGTCATATAAAATATTAACAAAATTATTATAAAATTGTAATGGTGTGTCATTATTTACATTATTATGTACATTTAAGTGGGAAAAAATACTTTCTGATAAAGAAAAATATTTCGACCAGTCTGCTTTATTATATAAAAATTTTTCTTCTACAGGTCGGACCTCATACACTGATGGCCTCACATTTACACTTACCTGAGTTGGATAGTGATAGCTGCCCATCGGGTCATCATGGACTTTCCACTCACAGAGAGGAGCTATTCGGGGACTAACTAATGTTATATCTATTGCTGATGCCTGCCTGTTTGGTGATTGAATGGTGGTTGGACTACCATCATTTAACACACATAAGTCAAGTTCATCTATGAGATTGTATATGTTATTACCTCTACTATTGTTTGTATGACAACCAAACAAAATATGATGTGCATTAAAATCACCCATAATGAGACATGGCTTAGGAGCACTAAGTAGAACTTTTTTCAGTTTGTTGGTATCAAATCTTCCATTAGGAGGACAATACACACATAGTATGTTTAATTTGCCTATGGATGTTTCTATTGCAATACATATATTCTGAACTGATTCATAAAAAGTAGTAGTTATGATATTATATTTAAAATTTTCTTTTATTAAAATACCCACTCCATTGTGTGTATTTACTGAGTTTTTGAATATGAAATTATAGGATGTAAATTTAGGAATTTTACTGTTACTTTTAAGCCATGTCTCATTAATGAGACAGATATCAATATTTTGTTCATTCATGTATTTTTGCAACAGAGCTTTTTTACTCTGTAAGCTTTGTATATTAAACTGGGCTATATTTAAGTATGTATTCATTAAATTAAATTTGACAACAATATTTCTTTTATTGTCTTATTAGTTATTGACATTTTCTCTTTGTTGTTACCGAGAGCAACAAGAGATTTAACTAATGCATTAATTATAATTTCATTATTTACAATTTGATCTGCATTGAATGCAGTATTATTATTATTTACATTTTGTTTAAATTGTGAATTATATACATTTAAAGATTTCTCTAAAGTGGGATATACTTTTGGGGTTGTACTACTTGAGGGCATACTCACAACAGCGGCATAGGAGTGATTGACATATTTACTTCTTTTTTCTTCAATTTTCTTCTTTTTAATGGGACAATCTCTCGAAATTGCTAAGTGGTTACCACTACAATTGATACAAACGATTTCTTCTACATCACATTCTTTGTATGAGTGTTGACCAGCACATGATGAGCACATCTGTGAGCTACGGCATACTTTAGCTGAATGGTTAAACTTCAGACATTTGTAACATTGGACTAATGGTGGAATATAAGTGTGTACAGGATATCTAAATAATTGTATGTAGACATATTGTGGTAAAGTGGTAGCTGCAAATGTGACGGCTACAGTG